TCATAGGCTGTCGCCGGCCAATATCATTGTCGTGTTTAGATGTATGCTTCAGACACCGGTCACGCTGAAGGCATTCCCCATAGCGACCTCTAGAGGACGCAGTGTCTCATTACCTTCTCAGGGAACCATGGTTACATACGTAACCTGAGATGTTTTCCTGAAATAAAAATTTATATTTATAGAAATAGCTAATCAAAAATTGTCCTACACTGTCCTATTTTTGTGTCCCTGTAACATGAATCTTCTGCCAATGGGTTACAGATGTATTTTGTGAGACATGTGGTTCAGAGTATCTACACTACCATTCAAAAGTTTGGGGCCGGTAAGAATTTTTTTTTAATGTTTTTGAAAGATACTTATGCTCACCAAGCCTGTATATATTTGATCAAAAATACAATAAAACAGTAATATTTTTTAAATATAATATATGACAGCAAAGCTACAGAACATTTTCAGAAGCCACTACTCCAATCATCAGTGTCACATGATCCTTTAGAAATCATTATATGCTGATTTAGTGCTCAAGAAACATTTCTTATTATTATGAATGTTGAAAACAGCTGTGCTGCAAACATGATTTTTTGACAAATAGAAAATGAAAACTTTTTTTAATATAGCAGCATTTATTTACAAATATAGTCATTTCTATTACTGTCACTTTTGATCAATTTCATGCATCCTTGCTAAATAAATGCATTAATTTCTTTAAAAGAAAAAAAAACTTACTGACCTCAAACTTTTCAACGGTCATACATATTTGCAGTTTAAGTCATGCAAAAAACCTGAATCCAATCAGATCAGGCTAAGAGCACAACAGTGTTATTTCACATCTATGCCAAAGCACTTAAATAAGCCAGCAGCCATCACCCATGTCCAATCCCATTTAACACATTAACTCACAAACTAGCATATCACACTTACGCCATTTTACCAAGCACATATTCTATACTGTCTCTGGTGCAAATTACGTGCAATACATGTTTTGAACATACGCAGAACATTTTCACATGACTGTGAGCTTGTTTGAGTATATCAATGTACCTGCCTCAGAATTTGAAAAATACTGTGAACTATTGATTATTTGGCCTCCCTGTTGCATTGAGCTTGTCACTCCTTGAGCGGGCCACAGTCACGTAGGGTCTAGGCCTGTCTAAAGGACAGTTTTTTGGTTACCCTTTAGTAACTGTGTTTCTAAATCCATGCTATGGTAAGTGCACACGCTGAGCTTCTGTGCACTTTCTAAAATCCACATTGTGGTAAGTGTGCACACTAGGAATTCTGCACACTTTCTAAAATCCTGTATGGTAAGGGTTATGCGCTGTCAGCCTCGTTTCCTTTCTCTGAGTTGGCTAGGCCCCGGTTTTCACCTTGGGCTCCACTCAACCTATGTATCCCTGTTGGTACATTACGATATTTCTAAATCCATATCTATGGTAAGTGCACATGCTAGTTCTCTGTGCACTTCTCTAAGTCCATATTCATGGTAGGTGTGCACGCTAGCCTTTGTGCACCTTTTTTAAAACCCTTTATGGTAAGGGTGATGCGATGCTGGCCTCGTCCCCTTTCTCTGAGTTGGCTCTGGCCCCGGTTTTTACCTTGGGCTCCACTCTCACACTTTTGTAGACAGGGTGTTGCTACTAAGTCCCCTGGGTGTCTTGTGATCCTCGGGTAGCTTGTTCTTAGAGCAGGAGGTAGTCCCTGTGTGACAGGCCAGGATATGGGTTATGTTAGCCCTGGTACTTGGCCGTATCCCCTTAAAGGAATCCTTTTTATTTTTAATTCCAAGCCTTGAGCTTTATACAGGCCAGCCCTTACAGGTAAGTTCTTTGGTGCACAGCTCAGGCCTTTGGCCGTAGGGGGTTATGTCACTGACAGCCATCAAAACGTCCTAGGAGCAGCTCCGCTGACTTGGTTGAGTTGGTACTTAGTGCTTGCCTTAGTTTTTGCATGCACTCCCCTCAGCATGGCAGCATGGGTATACCGTTCCCCATAGCGACCTCTAGAGGACGCAGTTCAAAGTTCCCTCAGAAGGGAATGTCTCAGGTTACGTATGTAACCATGGTTACCTGAGAAGGGAACGAGACACTGCGTCCTCTAGTTTCCTTGCCATGCTTCGGACGCAAGCTTCAGACAAAGAAGTGGATGACGTGTAATCTCAGCACCCTTTTATACTGTGATCGCGCAGGGTAATGACGTCATAGGCTGTCGCCGGCCAATATCATTGTCGTGTTTAGATGTATGCTTCAGACACCGGTCACGCTGAAGGCATTCCCCATAGCGACCTCTAGAGGACGCAGTGTCTCATTACCTTCTCAGGGAACCATGGTTACATACGTAACCTGAGATGTTTTCCTGAAATAAAAATTTATATTTATAGAAATAGCTAATCAAAAATTGTCCTACACTGTCCTATTTTTGTGTCCCTGTAACATGAATCTTCTGCCAATGGGTTACAGATGTATTTTGTGAGACATGTGGTTCAGAGTATCTACACTACCATTCAAAAGTTTGGGGCCGGTAAGAATTTTTTTTTAATGTTTTTGAAAGATACTTATGCTCACCAAGCCTGTATATATTTGATCAAAAATACAATAAAACAGTAATATTTTTTAAATATAATATATGACAGCAAAGCTACAGAACATTTTCAGAAGCCACTACTCCAATCATCAGTGTCACATGATCCTTTAGAAATCATTATATGCTGATTTAGTGCTCAAGAAACATTTCTTATTATTATGAATGTTGAAAACAGCTGTGCTGCAAACATGATTTTTTGACAAATAGAAAATGAAAACTTTTTTTAATATAGCAGCATTTATTTACAAATATAGTCATTTCTATTACTGTCACTTTTGATCAATTTCATGCATCCTTGCTAAATAAATGCATTAATTTCTTTAAAAGAAAAAAAAACTTACTGACCTCAAACTTTTCAACGGTCATACATATTTGCAGTTTAAGTCATGCAAAAAACCTGAATCCAATCAGATCAGGCTAAGAGCACAACAGTGTTATTTCACATCTATGCCAAAGCACTTAAATAAGCCAGCAGCCATCACCCATGTCCAATCCCATTTAACACATTAACTCACAAACTAGCATATCACACTTACGCCATTTTACCAAGCACATATTCTATACTGTCTCTGGTGCAAATTACGTGCAATACATGTTTTGAACATACGCAGAACATTTTCACATGACTGTGAGCTTGTTTGAGTATATCAATGTACCTGCCTCAGAATTTGAAAAATACTGTGAACTATTGATTATTTGGCCTCCCTGTTGCATTGAGCCCCTCGATGTATAACAGCAAACCCTCTTAATAAAGCATGGACCCTTGGGTAATGTGGTTTCCTGACGAAACTAGACCCTAGGTGAAAAATGTAGTCATTTGTGACCAGCATAAACATTGCCAACTAAGGGAAACCAGCAACATGAAAAGTCCACTTTATCAACACAGGCCTGTTTTTAGAGTTTGCCAGGATGATCTGTACATAGTTCAGGCTCTGAGCCCCCCAATACACCTCCTCCCTTCCTTCAGCTTATTTCGGCACACAGCTCTCTCAGCCACATTTGCCCTGGGATAGATACTATTTTAGCTTGAGCCTTATTGGAATCTCATGATATGAGATCCTTGGTGATTACAGGAAAGCAGCAGACACAGAACTGATCCTGGATTGAAACTCAATTTATCCAGAATCATGCAGTTCTATTTTGCACAGAAACAGCTCTTAAAGAGTCCAGTTTTTATGTAGCCTGTTGATTTTTGTTCATGGTATTCAGCTCCAATAAATGGTTTGCAAAAAAAGTGACACAGGATAAATGTTTGATATCATTATTTAATCACATTGGAATCTAAACTGGGAATCGAAAAGAATCAGAATCGATAAGCAGAATCGGACTTCAAACGATACCCAACCCTACCCTCAGGCCATTCAAGATGTAGATGAGTTTGTTTATTCATCAGAACAGATTTGGAGAAATTTAGTACTTTCTCACCTGTGGATCCTCTGCAGTAAATGGGAGCCGTCAGAATGAGAGTTTAAACGGCTGATAAAAACATCACAAGAATCCACAAGTAATCCACATGACTCTAGTCCATAAATTAATGTCTTGTGAAGTGAAAAGCTGCATGTTTATAATAAACAAATCTATAATTAAGATGTTTTTAACTTTAAACTGTTGCTTCTGGCTAAAATATGAGTCCTCTATCAATAATATTGCTTTCTCCAGTGAAAAAGTAATCTCCTCTGAATTAGGAGAGAAATATGCACAGATCAAGCACCGTTTAGTGAAAACAGTCCTAAACAAATCATGTTGGTGTATTATGATGAGAGGACAACAGGGGGTGGAAGCATTATTACGGATTATGGATGTTATTATAATGGAATTTTGGCCAACAGTTTAAAGTTAAAAACACGTGATGTTTTAGTCAGCCGTTTAAACTCTCATTCTGACGGCACCCATTCACTGCAGAGGATCTATTACTGTGGTGTAATGCTAAATTTCACCAAATGTGTTCCAATGAAGAAACAATTTCATCTACATCTTGGATGGCCTGAGGATGAGTAATTTTCCAGCAAATTTTCATTTTTGGGTGAACTATTATTTTAATAAAACTGAAAGCTGATTAAATAATAAACTATTAAAACAATGCAATTTTGATTGTTTTGATTTGGATACCATTTTTGTTTTCAAGACAGGATTTAAAGGAGTAGTTCAACCAAAAATGAAAATTCTGTCATCATTTACTCACCCTTATGTTGTTACAAACTTGTTTGGCTTTCTTTGTTCTGAGAAATGAAACTTCTGGACCACGCTGACATAATATGGAGAAAGACAGCTGAAATATTTTTCAAAATATCTGCCTTAGTGTTCCACAGAAGCATGAGGGTGAGTAAATGATGACAGAATTTTACATTCTAAATGCTCATAAAAATATTGCATAGATGTCATAAACCAAATTCGAGTCCCAGTTAATCATTACCTCTTACCTCATATTTCTCCACACAGCTCATGCCAGCATAATCAATGATACAGCGACCGAGCCACTCATCAGGTCTGATGCTTATGATGTCAGTCCTGCATTGCTCCAAGAAAGGCTGGAGCTTCAGAAGTAGTGCACGGGATAGTAGAAATCCTGGTCCACTGTGACAGTACCTCCCCTTGGTTTCACCTCCAATGAACTCTCCGGGCTGGCCCATGTAAAGCTGAAGGTCCATGCTCAGGTGGCTTACTAAGGTCTTCAGCCTTTCGGGCTGGGTGTAGGTATCATCCTGAACAAAGTAGAACCAATCATAATCGGCAATGTGATGTTCCAGAAGATGTCGGACAGACTGGAACATGTTTGGAACTGGACGCTCGTCACCGTGGGCTACCACAAACATTCCATTAGGGAGTTTGTGATTGCGAGTGTCTGTAAAGAAGATGAGATGGCCATCCAGGTGGTGGTTGAGGGTCCGGTTGATGGCCACAGCTAAAGTGTTCATGGTGGTTTTGGAGGTAAATACTGAGACAAAGAGACGTTCACGAATTCCAAGCTCTGTGCTGGCATACTTGGCTCTAAAGAGAGAAAGATTATGGATATATAATAACAAGAATTATAAATAATAACATGAAGAGTAAAGAAATATAAAATCACAGCATAGTTACATTAGGAAGTCACAAGGTTTGATGTGCCAGTTGGTCAAATAAACCAACCCAACCATTTATAACATACCACACACAGAAGTCCAAAATAGGCAGCAGTTGTGTCATTATTTACCCATGTCATTTAAAACTTGTCTGCTGTCGTTTTTCCATGAAACCCAAAATAATTCTCATACAGCTCTTTCTGTATATGACAGTTCAGAGTGATATAGGACAAACCAAATTCTGAAACCATATGATAGTAGTTTCGTGTAAAGAAAGGTTTGGCCAAAATTTAAAAGAACATTATCTCCCATTCTCAAATCTCATTCTTCTTTCCACACATTTGAATTGGCATGTTATGTTCAGTAACGACATAAAGATATTTTGGCATCCATGACCCTGAATGTGAATGCAAACGAGATTTCAGAACTTCAGCGAAGAGGAAGATTATTAGTCAATGATGTAATGATTTAATTTTCTTTGTTCCTAACAAAAAGCTATTGTGTGACTTGAACAGCTTTATTCACTATGCACCAATTTTGGAAAAATGCTGCATATAAACATTCATCAAAATTCCTTTTGTCTTTCACAAAAACAACAACAACAGGGTTGGTGTTGAAATATTAATTTAAAAAATGTGCTTAGATTATGTGTTACAAACTATAGTAATTGATAATGTGTATTTTATATTTAAAACATTTTTGTCCTCATTGTCTTAGGATAAATCTTTCACAAATTGCCAAAAATGTTGACAGGCAGTTGGGTATTTATTCCACACAAAGTTTTTCATTTTCTTTCTGACTTCTCAAACTGCAGACGTCATCCTATGTTCTATTCACTCAAACTTTAGATGCCATGTCCCTGTGATGGACTAGCCATTCTTACAGGGTTTTCCCCTGCTTTTCTCCTAATTTGCTGGGATAGAGGATAGACCCTATATGATATATTTGCTCTCATTTGTACATCTATTGGTGTTTGACATTTTCTTTTAAACTATATGCTCAAACTAAGTGTAACGCTTAATATTGGCTGGAAAATCCATTAAACAAAATGTTACTGTTTAGTAACTCTCAACGACTCTGGAAACTTTATTAGCCACCACTTTAAATACAATCAAACAGTAGTTAGTATTATCATTATTATATAATGGCCAAGGGGCAAAATCAGAGCCATGTGCTTTTTTTTTGCAAGTGTCCTACTAAAGTTATCCGTATTTTGCTCACAAAAGACAAACCAGATAACTTTAGTTTAGCAGCATACCTCTTGCAGAAAAGCTCCACAGACACAAAGGAAATAAATCTGCTTGAGATGCTGTTGTTTATATTATTATTATTATTAGGCCTATTATTATTATTATCATTATCATCATCATCGTCATTATTATTATTATTATTATTAAAACGTGGTTGACTCATTAGGTTTTTTTTTTACAAACTACTCACAACCTTTCATGCTTTAAATACACCCAAGGACTTTAGTCAGGATAAGCTCTGTATAGAATCATTGGTGGAGCTCCATTCTACACCTACCTGAAAACTTTCTTTGGAGGACCTTCCTGGGCAGGCTTGTTATAAGGCAATATTCTGGGCTCAAAATCCTCCTGGATATTTCCGTTGTCAGTTGTGCCACTGGATATCGAGCTAGGTTTACGGGCCCCTGTCGAGCTCCCGGGATGCCCTATGAGCATCTCATCGGCTGCTCCTATCCAGTCAGAGTCGCAGGACTCATCCACCCAAGTGACGCTCAGGAGACTCAGAGTGAATCCCAGAGAGATGCCCACAATAATCGGTCCGGTCGGCCTAATCAGAGACACTAGCATTGCAATTCTCATGTTTTAGTGGGTGGCAGTAAACAGTGAACTGTCCGCTCCACAGCACAACGAAGAGATGCTTTTAGCAGAACGAGGCTGCGGAATCGCGTCGCGCTCTCTCTTCGCACCTATAAAGACGCAGACGTGACGGTCTCTGTTGCCTTTTGACGTGTCATCGCTCCGGACTCCGCCCGTTACTAACCAGACATCAGTCAATGCAAATTCTAAGCGCTGATTACTGCCATTCGACAGAAGCATGGATGGAGGAGGCGCCATCTGCGAGACCGCAACAAACCTATCATTAACTCCAGCTATAATTTAGGGTAAAAGCGAATTTGGTCGTTTGCCCTGCCCCTAGCATATTGCGAGGAAACCGCATTTGACCTGGAAAGATCTTTCTTTGTCTCACTAGAGGGCGACCCTTCTCTTTGAGACTATGAATGTAATCCTACATGTGGACGCAAAAAAGGAAAAAGAATAATAATAATAATAATAATAAAATACATAAATAAATAATACTCTTATTATTAGGTGTTATTTTAAACATTTAATGTAATTAAAAATAAGAAAATAAATTATTCTAAAACAAAACAAAGCAAACAAACGAAAAACGAGTTGAAAAAAATTACTGAAGAAATGAAAAACAGGCTAAAAATAACACATAGCCTATTATTATGTAAAAAGGCCTGTTTAATGTTTAAAAATATAGGCTAATAATACATACATAACAGACAATGTGTGTGTATTACTCACTTCAAACATTGTCAAATGTTTGCTCATACACACATTTTTTTTGTCATCTTTTTGGACTAAAATGTTTTTGTTTAACATTTAGGTGAAAGGTTTCAGTAAATGTTATATAAGAAAAACGAGTTGAAAAAAATTACTGAAGAAATGAAAAACAGGCTAAAAATAACACAGCCTATTATTATGTAAAAAGGCCTGTTTAATGTTTAAAAATATAGGCTAATAATACATACATAACAGACAATGTGTGTGTATTACTCACTTCAAACATTGTCAAATGTTTGCTCATACACACATTTTTTTGTCATCTTTTTGGACTAAAATGTTTTTGTTTAACATTTAGGTGAAAGGTTTCAGTAAATGTTATATAAGAGATTTTGCTGATTCAGAAGACCCTGTTCTGTCATCTAACATGCACCTGACATAATGATCGTGTGAATCATATTGTAACCAAGAAGTGAAATGTCCCCCCCCCCCTTTAAAAATTGCAATCAATCAATAAATCAATCAAACAATAGCTTTTGGTCCCTGTAACAGGAGCTATGAATTACATTATCTCCAAATACTCACAAACACAATCATGGTATGCTTTGCGCACACCAATTTCCTCCCCATAAATCAGTTATTCACAGGCAAATAACTACACCACTCTCAGACTTTAAATGTGCACAAACATGGTGCAATATACACAAAAACATAGCTCAGACCTTGCTTTCTCTTTCATTCTGTCCTCCCCTGGAGCATCACATCTGTTCCTTCTACTGCATGCCTGCAGCTACAACTGAAGAACAAAGTGGAATTCCCAGAGCTGTGCTGTGTCTTTCTGTCTTTCTGTCTTTCTGTCCCATTACAGAGAAAACATTTTTCTCCATGTATGTGGTTGTTAAAACAGTAAATATTCTGACTGGGTTGGGTTTGTTACAGTTTTATTTTCTGCAGATGAAGCGGAGCATGAAGTGTTCTCCCAGGGGTAATCATTATTTTGGGAGTATAATGGTAATTGTTTATTAAATGTCTTTAGTAAGAAACAATGTAACACTTTTGGAAATAGTATATTTGAGGTGATTCTGTGTGTGTATTTACCAGTGCCTTACATTTTTCAGTGTAAAGCCCTCAAAACATATGTTAGCTGAAGAACAAATACAAGAGAACTATTCAGTCAAGTATGTAGTCGTTTTATTCTTCCACTAGGTGGCAGTAATTCATTAAACTGAGTGTCCTAAAATTTCCCCATTACATTTAGAAGATGTGCTTTTAAGTGCCATGTGTAGAGATGCATTTATGCTTTGCAACATTGATGAGATGAGAAAAAAAAAACTGGAAATGATTTAGAAGAACTTGCATTCATCTTCCATATTATACGAGATTATATATGAAATATGAGATCTAGAAGTCACTGTGAGGTACTAATGAAAAACTATGTAACACCAAAGAAACTTTGTGAAACTGTTTTATTCATTTCCCCCCAAATGTCCACTTGTCCACCCAAAAAAGTACAATGAATAAAACCATAGGAATAGATTTGAAGGTCAAAGACCTTTCCGAGTGGATGGAGATGATTGTCCAGGCCTACAGTTGCGGTATTCACAGTAAGCCATCAGAGTGTATGGGGCCCTGAGCCAGGCATTGTTCATTCACAGCTCACAGTTGTCATCTGAACACTGAGGCTGTTTACTGTCTCTGGGATAAACGCAAGGAATGTATGGCAGAGTTTACTAAATAATGTTACTATGCCACCACTTCCCTCGGAAAGCCCAGATCACATGATAGCAGAGGCTTCTGCCTCTTCAACGCACCCAGTGTTCTTAGATGGCCTGAGAGTGAATACATTTTCAGCAAATTTACATTTTTGGGGGTTAACTACGTCTCAGAGCCTACTAGCTGAACATACACCAAGCAGTTTGGAGAATGCATGGATGGATATTACATTTTTGTTTTTCTTTTCTGTGTTTTTGTTTCTGAAATATGCCCATTCAATTTAGAAATGTTGTGTCAATATTTAATAATTAAATGTGTTTTTAGAAATGTCAGGTCATCGATTCTTGGAATTCTTTTTAGTATAACTACTATAAATTTCTAGAATGAAGTGTCCTTTTCTATGTTGTGTGCATGGTATCATCAAAATAATTGTCTGCCAATTGATGAACTCAAGCAGCTACATCTGATTATGCTGGCATCTTGCAATAAATAAATTAACTAATTAATTAAAGAGGCAGATGCAAGAAAATATCAGTGGCCATATAAGGCTTCCCAATCCATCCCAAGACTGCCCTGAGAGAAAGACTAGAACTCTTATACATTTGATCAAAGTTTGATAAACAAGAAGATGATAAAGCAACAAGTCATTTTAAGTTTTTCTTTGCTTCTGAATTTTGATGGGAAGGTTTGGCATGAACATTTGAAATTCATTCTGTTTGGCTGGAAAATGTTCTAACAGACAAATTCTGGCTGATAACACAGGATATTGATATAGCTGTAGGGCCAAGAGGACTGCCAAGGTCAACACAGGCAAGAGAACACTTTATGAAAAACATATCAAAAACGACAGCTGGACATCATAACACTAATTTAAATTTAAGGCCTGATGAAAACGAGAAATAAAACGAAAACAAAGTGAGTCAGTTTTCTGGTTGACATAAATTCATGGGAATCATTTCTGTTTCCAAAACAAATAAGGGCTGTCCCTTACGAAAAATAAGTTTATTCAAGTGTGCTATTAGTATACTTCTTTTAAACTAAAAATAGGAAAGTATACTTTTAGTCTACTTTTTATGTACTTCTCAGAAATGGGCTTTATGTACTTCTCAGAAATATACTTAAAATGACATTTAAGTATACTTGACTTATACTTAGAAAAAGTCTAAATATATTTTAGCTATTCTTGTGTTCCTAGAATCCGTGTTTTCATTGTTATACTGTAGGGGGTGCTGGTACACATCTTCTGTACAGAATTTCCAAAAAACACAAGTGAAGAAGAAACCGAAACAACAGATGCTTCCACATGTATTCTAACACGATCATCAGACATAAAACAGCATCAAAACTGTGTAACATTATGGAATAAAATGTCGACCAATGAAGAGGTAATAATAACTGTCAAGCTTTGGGGTGTTGATCGACTCTATCTACGTTTTGATTATCATTCTGAATCCAATTCATAGTCTTTTTTCAGCTTTTTGTTCAAAATGCTGTTTATTTCTTTATTTTTTATTTATGAAACTTATCCACATTCAAGTGTTTAAAAAAAGAATGCATGAAGCTAGAATAAAATGTTTTTGTTTACAATCAGATACCCTGTTCTTTTAATGTTTTGTATATTCAGATATTCATGTAACAAAATATATACAAATTAATACCTAAATAGGGACATAGTAGTATACTTAAAGTATAATGTAAAGTTCACTTAAAGAGTATACTTGCAGTATAAAACTACTAAAGTAGTAGTTTACTGAGACTATACTTCAAAGTGTACTAAAAATGCTACTACAAGTATTTAATTAGTAAACTATCAGTTTACCTATAAGTTAACTTTTAGTATAGTTGTAGTACAAACTAAACATTTTGATGTAAACTAGTTGTGTACAGTACAGTACTGTAAACTAGTAAGTTTACTACTGTTATACTTAAAAGTATACTTTTATATACTAGAAAGTGGGCCAATTTAGTCCCAAGGAGTATTGAAATAGTACACTTACAAGTATACTACTAGTACACTGATATTTGTATACGTACTACATAAAGTACACTTAAAATATACTTGAACTTTACTTAAGTATACTTACTAAAATAAACTTGAGGTATACTACTTTTTGGTAAGGGGTGCGGGTTTACATCAACTAAACGAGTGTCATATAGGGTTTCTGCACCGTTTGTTTACAAACTCCTGAACTTTTTGTCTTGACAGGGATTTTTCTGACGCTACGTCAACAGAGGTGGAATGCGCGCGTGCCAATATGTTAATAAGATTCGATAGACAGGCTGTTCAGAAGTGAGTCGCGCGGGTTTTACTCAGTGTACGCTTTTGAAAAGCATGCTTATTTGATGCCAGTTGTTTGGTCTCACTAAAGAAGTGGAATATATATTTTTAATTGAGTTAAAAGTAGCGATGATTCTTTTGTGCTCGCGCCCCTTTCTTTTTTGCGCATCTTGGTCTTCACGTACTTTTAATCGCGTCTCGGCAGGGCATTTAAAACGTTTTCATGCTGTTCTTCATTATTGCTGGATATGACGCCAATACAAATATTCACCGACAAAACTCGGACACATCGGTGGGACAGTTTCAGGTAGATTTAACCCGTTTGTGGATGTAAATCCCTGGATGATGCTCTCAATGCAAAAACACGTCCTCTTGTTACTTATTATCCTCAATACGACCCTCACACCTCTGCAACGAAGGTAAGCGGCTTATTCCTGCCTGTTAATATTCTTGTTATTGAGCTGCACAAATAAGGTTCTATGAAAACTAATGCAGCATTACTTCTAAAAATTTTCATTTGAGGCAGTTAGATGAAGGTGATTGCAGCAACAAACGCAGGGATTTATGATTTTGCATTCAAGTTCAACAAGCCTTTTTAAATAACAAGATGCAATGAAAGATGTGAAAAACTGGTTTGTTAATGGCAAATAACTTTAAGAGGGAGGGTCGAGACTTAAAGGATGAAAGAAGGAGGGAAGTGAGGAAAAGGACAGAGTATCTACAGTTTTTTTGTTGTAAATGTATCCTCTTTGTTGAAATGGGTTTAAAAAATAGAAAAATAAAATAATCATAAACTTGGTAACACTACTTGAAGGGGTGTGCATAAGACTGACATGGCACCTTCATAATCATGACATGACACATGTCATGAATATGAAGGAGGTTTTATGCATGTTTATGACAACTGTCATTAAGTGTCATTCGCTCAGTTATGTCATTTTTAATGCAAATATGACATTATTTGACCTAACCCTACCCCTACCCTTACCCCTAACCATAGCCCATAACAAAGACATCTCAAACAATGTCAATAAAACCTAAAACATTGCTACCGTATTTTCTACGGTAAAACTCCGGCAACCACAGCTGCCGGTTTTTTACCGTACATTTTACGGAATTTTTTTTACAGGTTAGGTGTCATGTCATGATTATGAAGGTGTCATGTCAGTCTTATGCACACCCCTTCAAGTAAAGTGTAACCATAAAGGTTTATCAATTTTAGGTTTATTATTTGGAGAAGGCACTCAGGTACTATGAGAGAGTAGATCTCTGAAAATCCTCTTTTGTGTGGTTTTGTGTGTCTGTATCTAGTGGTATATACCTATTTCTTTTGCACCAGGGTGGATGGCAACCCTTTAGTGATGGATCCCAATATTATCTGCCGTAGAACTAAAACGTTGGTAGGCAGAAATGCCGACGTGTGCCAGTCTCAGCCTGAGATAGTTCAAGAAGTGGCAAATGGTGCCCGGTTGGGCATGCGAGAATGCCAACATCAGTTCCACAGCCGTCGCTGGAACTGCACCAGCCAGAGCAGAAACCTGGCCAAGATCCTGCAACAAGGTGAGGAACAATACAAAAGCTCCTCATTATATTAATTTATGTGCTTGAAACTTTTAAATGAAGATGAAATAGATACAGCCTTCTTAACAATTAGAATAACAATGACCCTGTTCAGCAAATTATGATCCAGAATGGGTGCTTCCATTGGCCTCTCTTTTTATTTATCATCTGCATAATAGGAATTCGTATATTTTTGCAATATCACTATGAGTCATCATTCCCCAGAACATCATTTCGAAATCCCCATTGGGTTGAAAATGTAGTTTAGACCAAAATACAGACTCATTTTCCAGTAATCAGATCTGACTTTATTCCCAGAAAGACACTGTACATGTGTTGTTGTTTAATACTTTTAGTCTTTTGTGCAGATAATTTGTTGCTCAGTCAGTTTTTTTTTTATGTAAACCTGTAAACAACCCTCACGTTGATCCAAATCTGTATGAGTTTCTTTATTCTGTTTAGTACAAAAGAAAATTTTCCAGTAATCAGATCTGACTTTATTCCCAGAAAGACACTGTACATGTGTTGTTGTTTAATACTTTTAGTCTTTTGTGCAGATAATTTGTTGCTCAGTCAGTTTTTTTTTTTTTATGTAAACCTGTTAACAACCCTCACGTTGATCCAAATCTGTATGAGTTTCTTTATTCTGTTTAGTACAAAAGAAGATAGTATGGGGGAAAGTACTATGGAATTCAATGGCTACCGTCAACTGTTTGGTTACCAACAATCTTCAAAATATTTTCTTTTGTGTTCGACAGAAGAAAGAAACTCATACAGGTTTGGAACAACTTGTGGGTAAGTAAATGATGGCAGAATCGTCATTTTTGGATAAACAATCCAATGAAGGCCTTCATTAACACCATGTAGTTAGCCGTATGACCTTTAGAGGGCATAATTGTATTATGTCAGTTTGACCGTGTTAATGGTTACTTGACATAACATATATGAAGAAAAAAGCAGTAGACCTTATGCTTTTATTAGTATTTTAGACCTTGTAGTGCATGTGTCTACATGAGGCTGAGATGAGGCATCTCGCCAATAAAAGACATTTGGTTTGTTATGATTGCACTTTTTTAAATCCAAACATGACATGCCAGTTGCCGTCAGTTTATAAGTTAGACTTGTATACATGTTAATTTGATACCCCAAGAGTGAGTGTGTCTTGGAGGAATCATTTATACTAAGGAAAAAAATGCTTTTTGGCAGGTCAAGGTGTATTGAGGCAGGTCTAGACAACGGAGAAGTGTGAGGAATGTGAATCTGCTAAATGAGTTATTGTTAATGTGGCAATTCCTTAGATATTTAAGTGATCTTAGAAGTGGGATGGGGTGTTGTCCTGAAACAAGAGTTTAGATAAAGATCATAATCAAACACATACCATGAGATGATCCACATGGCACTTTTTCAGATGGTCATGATGAGACAAAATATAAGGTTTTGTATTTAGACAAACTGTAGATTTTTCCCTGTTGAGTTAAGGTTCTGTTCTGAACTGTTCTCTAGATATCCGGGAAACTGCATTTGTGTATGCTATCACAGCTGCTGGGGTGCTGCATGCAGTAACACAAGCCTGCAGCCAGGGAGCACTGCCACAGTGCGGCTGTGTGACCCTTCAAAGTTCCTCTGAAACTTACCATGACTCCCCAGCAGAGCAGGTACTCATCCAGGCTTCACCTGTCCAAGATGGGCGCTGGGAATGGGGGGGCTGCGGAGATGATGTGGACTTTGGCTACGAGAAGTCTCGTCAGTTCATGGACACCAGGCAGCAAAAAGGCAAGAGTGACATCAGGACCCTTATTGACCTGCACAACAATGAGGCAGGAAGACTGGTACGTTTACATTTCAGGGTTTGGCTTGGAACACAGAAGGATATAACATTGTACATTGGACATTGTAGTAAATATAACTTTTGCATTCTCATTTGCTTCAGTAAGAAAGGGCTAAGAACACTATTGCATTTCCACAACTTTCCAAAAGAGGAAAAATATACACAGAAGGCAGCAAAGAGAAATATGTCAAATCTACATCACTCCTTCAACATCTGCTGTTTACTCTTTAATCTCTTTTTTGTATATATATATGCCTTCACCTTTCACCTTTACACTTATATGGACAAATAAAATTGCATATTTTTTAAGCAAAATCACACGAGCAAGAGTGCTGTTGTTCTGTAGGTCAACATGAGTATTATTTAGCCATTAGCAGGATGCCGCGAGTAATTCAAACCAAGCAGCACGATAGCGAGTGTAATATTGGTTTTGTACAACGGTTTAATAATACGATAGGTTAATATTGAGTCACTTACATTTTCGAAATAATATTCCCAGTTATTTTGTCTATTTTGATCCTGCCGACAAAAATAGTTCCACAACAATTCAAAGCAGAATCAGCAGTGGGGCCTCGCACATCAACAAAGTTTTGTCCCTGAATGAATCAGTGTTTTGAACGAATCCACTCACTCTACTGGCGTATCATATAACCTGATGTAAAGTTTGCCATGTGTTTCTTTCAGTACTGTCTGTGGTTGCTAATGTTTATATGGCATAGTACGTTTTATGCAGTCTGAGATTCTTATCGAAATGTAGATTTTGGAATAGTAGAAATTTCACTGATATTCACAGAGCTTTTTATTGCAATGTTTGTTATATACCTTTCAATATTTTATTTAGTTTCTTCATAATAATATAGCCTTTAAAAATACAAACTTAGCAATATTCAAAGCAGTCAACATACTGTACATGTAAATGGGGAGTGTGTGTGCAAGTAGCACATGTACAGGCCCAGTCTTTTATACAGATAATGAGAGTAAATTATGTTTTGTTTTGTTGCTTACGGGGTTGACTATATAAGTTTTAATTAAATAAGAAAGGGGAAATTCCCATTCACCTATCACAGTTTTATTACCATTACTATCACCAACTGCTTTATAGTTCACAACACAAACACACTTTGGACCAACTTTTTAAAAAAAAAACTCTAATCTGTTACAGCTAAATGTGTTAGTTTTTGGTTTGATATTTAATTTTTTATTTAATAATAAACAAAAAAGATTCATCTTTCCAAAGACAAAAACATTCATAAAAAGTAAAAACATTATTTATTATAAAGACCACATTTAATATAAAATAAGCTTTTTTTATTCCTTATATTCACCACCATAAACAAAGGCTATAATTAGCTATATGTAAGTAAACTTTTCACTTAGTTTTGCGCTCACAAAATTTTGTTAGTCAACATTTAATTTAGTTTATTAATATCAATAAAAACAACTTTGAATGGCCTTAATATTTATTGTGATGTCTTTTTAAAAATATGCATATTCTCTGTTATGTGCCAATAAATAAATAAATTAACAAAAAACAAAACTGATAAAACCCACAATAATTTCAACAGTCAGTAAATGTAGCCAGTATGTTTTCTGCACATCAACTCTCTGGTGTCAAACATACTATTTAAACAAAATTGTTTATTCATTTATTTGTTTGTTTCTTATTATTTTTTATGGGACGTGTTATTTGGTTTTAGACAAACTGAACAAAACATGTTTAAACTGTAAACCATAATTTTTGATTAGACCAATATGAAAATGCACTTTAAATAAATGACACAATCGTTTCGCTTTTCCAGTATTTATTTATTTATTTAGCTAAACTGAGCTGAATAATGACACCATTGACTTTTGTGACAGCTGATTTATGGCTGAAATTGAATTTTTATTAAAAACTGTTTATTACAGTGAAACTACTTTGAAAAAATCTATGTTGTCTAAAGCACTATATAAATAAATGTGGCTTATAAGATATCTGAGCAAACATCTCCCAGAGGTGCTTTTAATTTAAAAGACTGGATGTGGAACAGATGAACAGATGAAGAAAAAGAGCAAATGTTGTCTATTTTCTCACTTTTCTCTCTTGCCTTATGTGCCTTATGTGCCTACAGGCCATACGGACACAAATGCGGACAGAGTGTAAATGTCATGGCCTTTCTGGTTCCTGCACTCTTCGCAGCTGCTGGAGGAAGATGCCTATCTTCCGTCAGGTCGGTGACTACCTCATGCAGAGCTTCCATAAGGCCATTCGTGTGATGAGTGGGAATGATGGTAAATCGCTTGCCACCATCGATCCAGATACCCTTCCCCTGGATGCTAACATCCTCATCTATTCAGCTGAGTCACCTGATTTCTGTCAGGCCAATCAAAGGATGGGTACAGAAGGCACACAGGGTCGTGTGTGTAACAGCACAGAGACTGGGCCGGGAGGCTGTGACAGCTTGTGCTGTGGTAAAGGATTTGCAGACAATACACTGGAATATGAGGAAAACTGTCAGTGTAGGTTTCACTGGTGCTGTGAGGTTCAGTGCCAGAGATGTTCTGTGAGAAAGGAGGTGAGCCTTTGCTTGTGAAGTCTGCTCAAGGAGATAAAAAAATATCTGTATTAGTTGTGTTTGAGCTGGAAGGGCATGTTTGTTTTCTCCCCTATGCATAAGAATGTCCTCTGTGCAGAATGAAGCAGTGACTTGTGAAAACAGGTGCTTACCATCCTATTGCTTACGTTAATTTTTTGATGGTCCTCAGGACTGAGCAGTGTCGCCATGTTTTGCTAGAGAAATAATTGACCTGGTCTGAACAAAAACAAGCACAAATTAGCACAAATTATTACCTGGCATGGGTCACCCATCCTTCGGATGAGACGTTAAACCGAGGTCCTGACTCTCTGTGGTCATTAAAAATCCCAGGATGTCTTTCGAAAAGAGTAGAGGTGTGACTTCGGCATCCTGGCCAAATTTGCCCATTGGCCTCTGATCACCCAAAATATGCGACTCCTGGTTTTAGGTGGTGGAGCACATCACTCAGTCTGCAAAGGGCAGCCCTACATGTACCGCTTTGAAACATATTTTGTTCCAGTTTCCAGCATTTGGCATTGTTCTGCCAAAAAATATTTTTCATTTTCATTCTTTGAACCATTTGTAGTCTCTTTCAAAAATGACCATCTCATCACAGCATAAACGCACTGAATTATTATTATTATTAGTTTTTTTTTTCTTGTCATCAAAACTTATAAGACATGTAAACTCCAACCACTTTATTTTCCCTGGCTTTCTAAATAAAGTATTATTTACAAATATAATATGTGTGCATTGATGGCTATTTATTTTTTTTCTTATTTAAGAAATGTCTTAGCTTTGCATTAAAAGCAGCTTCTGGAATGAATAAGAGCACCATTTCAGTGCTAAGGGGGAGAACGCATACATGCCTCTGACATCCACTCATAGCACTCATTCAGACAATCAGCAATTGCCTTGGCATTGACAGACATAGAAATATCATCATCCACTAAATAATGATAAAGCAGTCACACAGTTTGTCCTATGGGTGCCAACAACTATCAAGCCCAAATACGCCACTGTATTCTGGAAACAAGCTCCCCACCCCCCAAAAAATACAACCCGTGACTGCCTAAATCTATAAGCAAATTAATGAAAACGCAAGCCCAAAGTCGCTTATAATAAGTGGACTTGGCAATATTGGGTGGGAGTCTGGGCTTGTATGGCTGCTTTCAAAAATAAACATTCAGCATACTGCCACCTACTGGTACTGTCCAAGGTGCTGAACCCCTGACTGACAGTTGATTTAGAACAATTGTTGGTCTAATTATAAATCATTTGTCCATTATGTACCTGCACATGCTTTTTATTAACATTTGTTGCAAAAAGTATGTTGAAAAATTGTAACCTAAAAATTTGTGAATCAACCTAAATGTATTAGCATATACCAACAAAACTACTTTTATGGGTAGGAAAAGGTAGGAAAAATAAATATTCTGACAGTTTCAAACTTTCTCTTTTTTAATATTTGAAGCACTGAAATATTTCCACAAACTCATATAGAAATAGATTGAAAGAGGGCTTACATTTTTGCCATTTACATGTATGCAAATAAAACCATGTTTTAATTCTCAAACCATGAGAATTTAAATCATGCTTTAAAAAAGAGGAGATCTTGTATAACAATAGGAGAAAGTGTCTCCATTTTTACAAACAACTAGCTATGTACGTCAAACATCACAGTAAAAGAAAGGATAATCAAGTGTTTCAGGAAAAGAATGAAATATCTCTTTAAGGTAACAGTTGCATGTTTACCACTTTTTACAGTGTATAACAACGACTCTAAACATAATAATGGGCTTTTTCACAATGCTGATGTTGACTTTGTGTTTTATGTTATGCTTGTCTACAAATGAATGTCCACAAGGTGGAGCATAATGCTGCAAAAGTGTCTGAAGCTAGTGTAAGCAATGCACCTGTGACCTGTACCACTAGGGTTTTCAAATGACCATTTATTTGTGTTATGATATCTATACCTTTAAAAAGTATGAATGATTTTTTGGGGTGGGGGGGGTGACTGTGAAATACAATTACAAATACACAATTAAGAAAAATTGTTGGATTTTGTTATCTATTTTTCACACTCGTTATCCTTATTTCCCTTTACTTGACTGTTGTACACTAAAAACATTTGGTGTTTTCACTCAGAAATTGCTAGTAATTTTTACAATTAAATTCTGAAATAGCAAGTAACAACATTCAATTTTGAATTTTGTAGTAGAACGACTGATTTTCTTGTAAAAAATACTTCAATAATGAAATATTTAACAGATTTTTAACAGTGTAACAAATGTGAGACTATGGGAATAGATGGTGTGTATGTGTTTGTAAGCTACCTTGCTAGCTAACAGGTTGAACAGCTGCAATTATGAGATACAGTGTTTTCAATCCATATGAGATACAAAATCCATAAATACTCTCTGAAGCACTTGTATAAAAATAGAAGTCTGAAAGAGACTGTATAACCTATATACACACTCATATAAGATGTGGGCAAATGCGTTTCAAGCTGCTCTGGTTGGTGAAAGCAGACATCAGTCCTTTCACTCCGCGTCAGGATTGGCAGATTGAGGAGGCTTATCCCGGTTTACAGGTCTGTACCTTTAGTTTTTTTGCCCGGCTACACATTACAAGTCCTGCCCATTGCTCCCAGTGTCTGAGGCTGCGCGCGCAGTGGGATGCAGAAGGAGTGGCGGAGCGCGCGCGTGTGACTGAGGCGAGCATCGATTATTACATAGGTACGGTAACCTAATCAACTCAACTGCTGTTTTCCCCACTGTATACCCAGTGGTCACACGAAACATAAATGGCCGTGAACCTGTGACTCTGAAGTCGCACCTCCCCGAGGCACTCAACGGGACGAAAGGCGAGTCAGCGCATTCCGAAGGGCCGGTGGGTGTTGGTCGTCAGTGGAAAAGATGGGCACGGTGCTCTCGATTTCTCCCACGTCCAGAAAAGGAGGGATTCTGGATGAGAAGACGGATGGAGCTAGCGGCAAGACGGAGAAGAGTCTCAAGCGCCATTCGGTGCTAATATCGGCTCTGACGTGGAAGCGGTTAGTCGCTGCCTCGGCCAAGAAGAAGAGTGCCAAGAAAGTGAACCCGAACCCACCCGTTTCTCAGATCAGTAACCCCGTTGACCAGCTAAACACCGAAAATCTTAAGAAGTCTCAGTCAGGCTCGGAGCGCAAGGCGAAGCCTGGGCCACTTGCAGTGCCAGTCCCTACAGTACCGGATAAAAGCCTTCGATCCAATCAAACCCAAAATGCATCCCAGAACGGAAAGCAGCTCCTGTCGGTCCAGCGGCAACCGAGCAGTCGCTCCATCATCTCGCCTAGACGAGTCATCGTGCAAGCCTCCACAGGAGAGCTCCTTCGCTGCCTGAGCGAGTTCATGTGCAGAAGGTGCTACAAACTCAAAGAGCTGAGCCCAAATGAGATCATCCTGTGGTTCCGAAACGTCGACCGATCCCTGCTCATCCAAGGCTGGCAAGACCAGGGTTTCATCACTCCTGCCAACTTGGTGTTCGTCTACCTGCTCTGCAGGGAGGCGGTGACCGAGGATATTTCCAGCGAGTACGAGCTGCAGGCCACCTTTCTTACCTGCCTGTACCTGGCTTACTCTTACATGGGCAACGAGATCTCGTACCCGCTCAAACCCTTCCTGGTGGAGACCAACAAGGAGGTGTTCTGGGAGCGCTCCCTGCGGATCATTGACAAAATGAGTGCCAAAATGCTGCAGATCAACTCCGATCCGCATTTCTTCACCGAGGTCTTCCAAGACCTCAAGAACGAGGGTGGCTCGAGCGATACGAACGGAAGGTGGAATAATAACCTGGACCGCTAAGTTTGGCTCGTGTTAAAGGGAGAGAGAAGCTCTCTGATGCCTCTCCACACCCTTCCTTCAAGGGTGAAATGAATGTAAGGCCCGACTGCTGAAGGTGTGAAGGGTGTTTCACTCTATTGCTAGTTTATGGAAACGGACAGGGGGATTTCGCCTCACCTCCATGAGAGGGGGTTTACGTGAATACATGTGTAAAATACAACCTTCATGACCCAGTGAATGTCACGAGCGCGATCTGGGGTTTCGTCATAGTTTACTTAATGCATGCTTAAACTATTCTATTCGTATCATCATTGTGGTTTTTGAAGGAGAAGAAGAAGAATATAACGCTATTTGGTGCCGAGCTAAAGTGGAGATGTAAATTATTAGCTTGTGCGTCAGTGTTGGGGTCTTATTTTTCTATTAGTTTCAGAAACGATATTGTCACCGACGCTGAGCTGTCCGAGGTGCTGGCCTGCAACAGACACTCTCCTCTTGTCTCCTGTGGCGCCTGATTCTATCTATATGAACGTTGAATGTACTGTTTTACAACAAAACGATTCTCTACAGTCATATGTGCCAATTGTCATAGTATAAAACGTAATGTTTTATATTGTATATTTGAAAATATATGAATACAAATACCCCCAGACTCTCTGCCGCTTCTTTATTGTTTTGACGATGAAAAGGGGACAGTCGATACAGCGGTTCGTGATTGAAGTGTCCTTTTTGCTGCGTTTTTCATCTAAGCATAAATGATCAAGGTGTTGCTGACTTTGGCTGGCTCCGGCATAATATTGCATGCAGATAAAGACCTGGCTAGTTTGATTTAACTGAAAATGATTTGCAGCTGCTTTTCAATATTTTAACAAACTCGACCATTGGCAAAATTTGAATTCAAATCACGCATGAGAACGAGCAACAGTGTAGGGATAGTGTCTACGTCATTCCTGTGCAGGCAAATGACCGCATATGCATGAAGATAATCAGTCGGATAAGCAGCGCTGTAACAACACAGGCCTAAATCCAGTGCCTGGATTCACCGGAGGCTTTTCAGTTTATGTATAGCTGTGCAAAATCATTTTATGTTAATTCAGGACAACATACACCTACTACATTTAATCGATCGTTCGGGACTTCTGTGTATGAATATGTGTCGGGTCCTATTTTATTCATGGCTGGTTGCTAGCCATGGTGCTGAAACTCGCCTTCAGTTCCTGCGTTAGTTTTGTTTATAGGCCCACATAGATATGAGTTATGTATCTATGGAAACTAATTCCATGACTAAATATGGGGGGACCTTGAACTTGGTCGATTATCTTACAAACCTCGACACGACCTCGACACGACTCTCACATATCACGTTTCAGAGGTTATGGTAAATTTAAAATCAATATTCTACTTGGTCTTTGAGTAGCAATTGGCTGTCACATACCGAAAACTTTAGACTTCCAGACGTCATGTACGATTTGATTACTTCAATAACCAAATTGTTTGTTTCGTAATAGGATTAAAGTCGGGATT